GCCCAGCCCGGCCACCCTGGAGCGGGAGTGAGGAGCGACGGCACAGCCCCCTTCCCGACACGCTTCCCACCGGGGCCGTCCCTGCGCCTCGTGCGGCGAGGTCTGAGGCCGGAGTAAGGACACGAGGCCACGACCAGGAAGAAGGCACAGACACCGTCCCCACGGGAGACCCACGGCCCTCTGGTCTCCTCCTGGCGTCTCCCAACCCGCACGGCCACCGCCTGGTCAGGGTGAGGGCTGACCTACAGCCTCCCCGAGCCCCGACCGGTGACCTCACACCCCCGCTGGCAGGACGCACGGCTGTTTTTAGTGATTCGAGGCGCCCACGGGGACTGAACAGGCGTCCCTCCTTCCCGGCCTCACCCCACGGGGAGGTGCAGGAGGCCAGCTCACAGCCAGGGGGCACGAACCTGGTGTCCCTCCAGGACCGGACCCCTCCCCCTGGGGTGTTCTCCTGTCTGAAGAAATGGCCCCACTTCCTGCCCCTAAGCAAGGGGGCAGCTGGGCCGTCTGCCCGTCTCCAGCCTCAGTGTCCCCACCGATACAGCGGGTGCTGCCAACAGAAGCCATCGGCGTCCCAGGTGACGAAAGGAGGTGAATGGGTCGGGTGTGCGACAACGGGGAGTGGTGGGGTCTGCAGCGGCCCGACTGCACCCCGCCAAATTCTGGGCATTTTGAAGCACCAACAACCACTGCCCAGGCTAGATCCCCGCGGCTGCCAGATGGTGGCCCCAGGCTGGGGGCCCAAGGTCCTTTCTCCTCCAAATCCCACGGTCAGAGGCGCCTCGAGAACGCAAGTCCCTTTCTAGGAAGGTCTCCCTCGAGAAGCAAAACTGCAGCGCAGTCCTCCTTACAGAACCGCGGGACCCGATTCACTGGAAAATTCTGGGCACGTGGGAAGTTATTCTCTTTAAAAGGTGTGGCCTGGCCGAAACCGGTTTGGCTCAGTGGATAGAGCGTCGGCCTGCGGACTGAGAGGTCCCGGGTTCGATTCCGGTCAAGGGCATGTACCTGGGTTGCGGGCACATCCCCGGTGGGGAGTGTGCAGGAGGCAGCTGATCGATGTTTCTCTCTCATCGATGTTTCTAACTCTATCTCTCTCCCTTCCTCTCTGTGAAGTGGCTCAGTGGTTGAGTAGTGACCTACAAACCAGGAGGTCACGGTTCGATTCCCACTCAGGGCACAGGCCCGAGTTGTGGCCTCGATCCCCAGTGTGGGGCGTGCAGGAGGCAGCCGATCAATGATTCTCTCTCATCGTGGATGATTCTATCTCTCTCACCCTCTCCCTTCCTCTCTGAAATCAATAAAAAATGTATTTTAAAAAAATAAAAGCTGTGGCCTTTCCCTTGCACAATGAGGAGCTGGGCAAGGCATCGTCGTGTGTGTGTGTGTGTGTGTGTGTGTGTGTGTGTGTGGCGAGGGGTGGGGGGTTGGGGGGTGGGCAGGTCAGCCCAGCGCAGCCTCATCCTAGCCAGGGTTCCACCCCAGCTTCTCACAGCCCTAGCTCCGGGCCTCACCTGCACGATGCACCTTGCACATCTCCAGCCTGCACTGTTCTGGCCAGGACGGACTCGGGACACATCATGTGACTCGGCCACAGAGCCCAGAGCCCAGCCTCCCGGGAACACGCCGTCCAGACCCGCTGGCTCACGAGGCCCACGGTTTGCTAACCTGGCAGCTCTGCCGAGAGAGGGAGTTCGGCTTTGGCAAAACGAGAATCAAATTCTTTGCGTGTTCAAGCCATTAGGCGTCTCTTCAGATGTGGCCTGGCGTTTTCCAAAACAATCATTTGTTTTTCGAGGCCTGAAAGGGAAGCGCAGGTTCCTAGGCCCA